TCCTCCCCACCCCCTGACTGTCTACCATCTCAGCACAGAGAACCAAAGGCAGAATGGGCTCCGATGATGATTTGTCCTAGGGTAGAAGAGGCAGAGGACAGCACCAAGGGTCCTAGTGATGGGATGGGGGTCGGGGGTGGGAGGCCAGCACTCAGAGGACTAATCTCAACCCCAACCTAAAGTCACATGTGAAGGGGACACTGGTGTGGTGTGTAACTCTCCCTCCCCCACTGAAGCAAGTCTGGCGTTGAACAGAAACCTTTGAATAACAATAATTTTCAGGGAGCTCGAGAAGGTAGGGGACTCCTGATGTGGCGCTGTAGGATAAGCACTTAGCCACAAGGTCGATTTGAACCACAAGGTCGGTGGTTCAAACTCAGCAGCTGTTCCTTGCAAACCCTATACAGGGTTGCTGTGAGTCGAACTGGCTTGATGGCACTTAACAACAACAATGAGAAAGGAGTGTGGTAGCTCTGTGGTATGAGCACTGGACTGCGAACCACAAGGTCAGTGGTTCAAGCCCACCAGCCACTTCACAGGAGAAAGAGGAGGCCTTCTCCTGCAGTAAAGATTTACAGCCTGGGAAACCCTACACAGGGTCGCTATGTGTCAGAGCCAAGTCTAGGACACCTAGCGACAACAGAAAGGTGGGCTCACAGTGTCAGAGGTGACTATGCATCGTTCTGTCTGAGACTGCAGACAGTTCCTGAACCTCCCATAAATAAGGATCACTGCAGGCTGGCGGCCACTTGTGGGTACCCCTTTCTTCCGCTCAAGGACTTTTCTGGGGCCATCCCACTCCTGCCTGGAGAGGTTGGTGGGTGGAGAGGCTGTGGGTGGGGGCCACTCTGCCCTTGGAACTTGATGGTCACAGTGAGTGGGGGAGGAAGCAGTGACCGCAGACCTCTGTCCCACAGTTCAGCACCTATGTTATGGGGCGGATGGACTCTTACTTTGAGGACCCACTGACTTTCAACCCGGATCGATTCAGCCCTGGAGCACCCAAGTAAGTCCCTTCTTGAATGGTACCCAAGCTGAGGCCTGGGAGGAGGTGGACAGCCACAGTTGCACCTGGTCTGAGTCGCCTATGCCCACTGACCACATGTGGCCCCCCAGATTCCTGTGAAAGGACTGAGATTTTACCCTGTCTTACCAGAGGAATCACAACTCAGATAGAGAGGTTAGGCCACTTGCCCAAGGCTGCACAGCTGGGAGGTGGAGTTGAACCCATCCCACACTCAACCAGCGCCTTATCCTGGGAACTGCGTGACTTTCTCAGCCTTGATAGTCCTCTCTGAGAAGCGAGGATACTTATGGCTCCATCCAGAGGTGGTTGCAGGAGTTACTGTGACCATGGAGGGAAAATAGAGCTCAGGGAGCCCGAGTCTGCCCAGGGCTGGACAGCCAGCCAGCCAGTGAGTAAGTGACCAAGCATCTGAGGCTAGGTTCCTTCATGGTGATACAGGGACAGCCCTCGGGAGGACCCAAGGAGTACTGGTGGTGCTGTGAATCAGGTGTTGGACTGCTAACCAAAAGTCATCGGTTCAAACCCACCAGCCCATTCCTTGGGATGAAGATGAGGTTGTCGGCTCCTGTAAAGACCTACAGTCTTGGGAAGAGTTCTGCTTAGTCCTAGGGGGTTAACTATGCATCAGAATCGACCCAGCCACAGTGGGTGGGTCAGGAAGGTCCAGAAAGGACACTGAGAGGGGGTCACGGCAGCCAGAGCTCAGCAGATCAGCTGTCATTGCCGAGACAGCTCCCGGAGCCCCCGCGTGTGCAGAGAACTGCTTTGCAGGGGTTTCTTGGTTGGGTTAAAGGGTTTCCTTTAATCTTAAAGGAAAGCAGATCGCCAAGCCTTTTCTTTGGGGTGCTGCTGAGTACGTTTGAACCGCCAGTCTCCAGGTTAGCAGACAAGAGTACACTGTTTGTGCCACTCAGGGACCTGTATTGTGTCTAGCGTGCAGACCACCTGCCTGGCACAAAGCAGGTCATTACGGAGTCTTCTGTCACTCTTGGTGTCCTTGTTGCCTGCCTCCTGACCCCTCTCTCCCTGCAGGCCTCGGTTCACCTACTTCCCCTTCTCCCTGGGACCCCGCGCCTGCATCGGGCAGCAGTTTGCTCAGGTAGGAGGGGCAGGCTCAAGGGCCAGGTGTCCACAAGTGACTGTAGGGGGTGGTTTGCCCTGGCCCCGTGTGCTCGATGTAGAGGTGTCCAGGGAGGGGTGGTGTGGAGCATGGTGGTCAGTCCTCTGCTCACTCGATGACCTGTGTCCCTGTGCACAGATGGAGGTGAAGGTGGTGATGGCCAAGCTACTTCAGAGGCTAGAGTTTCGTTTGGTGCCTGGGCAGCGCTTTGGGCTGCAAGAGCAGGCCACGCTCAAGCCGCTGGACCCTGTGCTGTGCACCCTGCGGCCCCGCGGCTGGCAGCCTGCACCCCCACCCCCACCCTGCTGAGGGTGCTCACCCCGGGGCTCCCCACAGGATCGGACTCCTGGGCCAGGGCCACTGCCCTCCTTTGCCACCCTGCCCTCTTCACGCTGGCTCCTTCACCCCCCAGCGCTCCCTGCCACCTGCTGACCACTGCCCTCCTAACACCCTCACGCTGCTATTCACACCTTTCTTCAGCTGTCACCGCCCCCAGGAAGCCCTCTCTGCCACCCCCCGGCCGGGCCGGGGCCCCTCCCTGTGCTCTCTCCACCACCTGTGCTACCTCCAAATCCACTGACCACACTGACCACTGACCACACTGTATCGTGAGTATCCGTGGATGTGACCCACTGCCCCGGCAGCCCATGGGGACCTCGAGGGCAGGGTCTGCGTGTGATTCAACTCTGAGCCCCCTGGGTCCACCCCAGGCCGGCACAGAATCAATACTCAATAAATGTGTGTTGACTGCATGAATGGATGGCCAAACCGGGTCATGACGCTCTGGCCTTGAGTTTGCTCATCTGTGAAATGGGAGAGGGGGGCATTGAGGGCTGGCCTAGCTCTGGAAGCTGCATCCCACAGATGTCCCAGAAACGCCCATCAGAAGACTATGTGCCCCCAGTTCCCAGGAGACACCTGCTTGATGAAGCCTTGCTGATTTGAACACAGCTGGAGGGGCCTGGTTTGGTGTGAGTGCTGGATCTGAGAAGGTCTGCACATAGGCACTGGCCTCGCACAGGGCAGCTGGAGCAGAGTTGTGCCAATCCTTTAATTCAGAAAGTCACCCTCATGGTGGGGGGGTGGGGAGTGGAAGAAGCAAGCCATCTCTCCTGGGGCCTAGGGTTGGACACAGGTCTCTGGATACTAAGCCATGTCCCTGCGCCCATCCAAGGGCTCTGCAGAACATGGAAGCTATCTTTGCAGAGAAAATCCCATCCCTACCTGTAACCCCTGCCTGGGGTCCGTACCCCTCCTCTAGGGGAGGCCTTGATCATATACCTGATTTGGTCGTGGCTGGGACCTAGAGACCCTCCCACTCAGCAGAGAATGGGGGCTCAGGGAAGCTCAGTTCAGGTGGAGCCGAAAGCGGTGGCAGCCGGGGCAGAGGACCCAGATGCAAAGGACCACAAGTTCAAGTCCTGACTCTGCGTTTCGACATTTCCTGTAACTTTCGGTCCTTCCCAGAGAGTGTCCTCTTGCTTGTCCAGATTCTTGCTCAAACACTCTGCAACTGGACCATGCCTCTCAGCCCTGCTCCCGTTCCCAGTACCTGCCCACATACCTGCCTACAGGCAGCCCCTCTTTGCAACCTACCACCTCATGCACGAGCCTTCAGCCCTGTCCTGTCCCCCAAGCTACCACACAGATCTACACACTCACAGCTCTTTTATCCCAGTCCACAGACCCTCCATGGGCCAGAGCTTCTTCCCACATCTCTCACTGTATACTTAGTTCTCAGGGGTACCACCTGGTGGAGGATTCACATATCTTTGGAGACCAAGCCTGATCCTCATGACATCTTTGAGTCCCCACTATGGGGGCTCTGAGCATGCCCATTCCACAGAGGGAGAAGCACAGCCAGGCTGTTGTGAGGTCAGGACTTGAATCCATGGCTCTTTGCATCTGGTGACCCTTCACAGACCCTCCAGGAACCACATACCTTGTCACTGCAGGCCTGGAGACTAGGGGACAGTCAAGGTGAGGAGGGCAGTGAGAGAGGAAGGCCTGGACTCCCTCCCCAACCCAGCACTGCAGCCTGTGGAGCTTGAAGCCCCTTCTCTTCCATGCGGTCCATACAAGGGTGGTCCTGACTGTAAGGAGAAGTCACCTGTCCAAGTGAGAGTTTTTGGGGGTGGGGCTCCACATTGGAACTTAAGAAGGCCCCAGTGTGCATTTCAGCCAGGATAACAGGTCCCAAATACCTGCCTACAAGCCACCAACAAGGTTGTTGCTATTGTTATTGGTAAGTACCATGGAGTCATGTTGTTGTTAAGTGCCATCGAGTCGGTTCCAACCCATAGCAACCCTGTATAGCATTTCCAAGGAGCAGCTGGTTGGCTTGAACCGCCAACCTTGCAGTTCAAAAGACTTTGCAGTCTGGCACATTAACCCACAGCGTCACACCAGGATGGGGTCAAATCCAAGGCTCTATGACTGGGTTGCCTGCTAGCTATGGGGCTTGCGTCTTAGTTGTCCCATCCTTAAGGAAGGATAAATTTAAAAATCTATAAGGAAGGAAGAGTTCGGCTGCTAACCGCAAGGTCAGGAGTTCAAATCTATCAGTCACTCAGAGGGATAAAGATGGGGTTTTTCTGCTATTAAAACGATTTTGTGATGTGCCGTCGAGTCGGTTCCGACCCATAGCGACCCTGTATAGGGTTTCCAAGGAGCAGCTGGTGAGCTTGAACCGCTGACCTTGAAGTTCAAACGGCTTTGCAGTCTGGCGCATTAACCCACAGCGCCTCACCAGGACTCAGAAACCCTATATAGGGTTGCTATGAGTCGAATCCGACTCCATGGCACATAACCACAACCACCATTTCCTAAGGCCGGTGGGGGAATTAGAGTGTTCATACGTGGGTCCTGCTCAGCACAGAACCTGCCAAAGTCACTGCTCCACACCTGTGGGCTCTTGGTACTGGTGTTCGCACCCGTATTGTTTGTTCCGTTCTGGTTGGTGTACGGCTCTGCGAGAGGCGGCATGGTGCAGCTCCGAGGATGACCACATGGTGGCGCCCGCGCGCAGCGCTCGGTCCATGTGCGTGGCCGCAGCCAGAGTGGGCGGTGCCTCCCTGCTGCCGGAGGGTCGTCAGGCCCTAGGACTCGCGTGTGCGGGGGACCAAGCCCAGCTCCTGACGCTGGGGGCAGGCAAGGCCAAGATGCAAACATGACTTGGGGTCAAACGCGGGTTACCTCAGACATCCACTGACCCTTCCTCTTGACCACTGGACGGGTGGACACCACCACACCAGCTCAAAGATGTGGTCTGACCCCTGACTCGCCCACCCGGGGCCAGCTGGTGGGGGCAAGGGTTACTGGAGCCCAGGAGGAGACTGGGGATCTCTCTGTGGTTCCCCATCACCTTTCTGGAAATGGACCTGCGGTTGGTCAGGGGCCTCTGACCACAGAGGTTTTGCCCGGTGGTTGGTCCAGGGAAAGCAAGAGACCACCCGTCTCTGGGGACTTCCGGGAATGGTACCTTGGCTTCCGCGCCTCGCAGTGGAGAAAAGAACACACATGAGGGTCCAGGTCTCTCCCTGCCTACCTCCCTGGATGCCTGACCTCTCAGAAACCTTTGGGCGCCAGTGGGGCAGAAGATATACCCCCCACCCTACCTCCCACACACACCTCAGCCCTTCTCCGTGTGGGCCACTTCCTCCTCAGGTCCCATTCTATTTGCCATTTGTAATTTGTAATTAGCAATCCGGTATAAACCTTTTCCTAGAGCAGAAAGCCTTATCTTTTCCCGAGGAGCAATTGGTGGGCTCCAATTCCCTTTGTGGTTCGCAGTCCAGTGCTTATCCTATGGAGCCACTGGGGAAGCCAAGAAGCCGCTCTTCTCCCCTGCCCTCTGCCCTGGGGGCTGAATGCGGGGGGGGGGGGGGGACCCTGAGTTGAAACACTTCGGGCCAGGCAAGGCTGAGGGGACCCAAGACTGGGTGGGCTGGGACATGAGGCTGCATGGGGCTGGTGAGGAGTTGCTTGGGGGCTGTGCTGAGTGGGGCTAACATGCGGGCACCTGTGCAGTCCCAGGTGGACTCAACAAGTGTAGTATGGGGGTGGGGAGCTGCTGGTCCTTGGGAAGAGAGCCTCAGGGGAGGAGTGGAGGGGGCTCAAACTGTGGCTAATCTGGAATGTAATCCCCTTCGCGTGGGAATCTGCTGTGCATGGCAAGGATGGAGTTTCCATCTGGCATTCCATGTCCTGCCTGACCCAGAACAGGGTCCCTGCCCACTGGAAAGGGTAAATGTTAACCCTCACCGTGGGCCCCAGGAAGGTGTCCAGCCTGAAGGTCAAAAACTAACCCCGTTGGGGGGCGGACTCCGAGTATCCTGGCAGGAACTCACTGGGGAGGTCCTGTCTTGGTCTGGGATGTTACCAATGGGTATTCCCTTCCCCACTCCTGTGGCTTGGAGCAGTCTAGCTCTGCACTGGTGGGACCAGGGCAGGTGGAGGGAACTCTGGTGATGGTGCCCGCCCCAGGATCCCCCAGAGGAGAGACGATCTGTCCAGGGAAGGAATCTGGCTCAGGCTGAGGGCGCAGTGACCACCATCCATTGCCCCTGTGGTCATTCACACACTTGGTAATACTGACAGTGTGAGAAAGTGTGAGAAACGCAGAAGGAGCAGGTGACCTTGGCCACCATTCTATTGTTCCCAGGCCCCCAGTGGGCAGAGAGACTGTGTGTGAGCAGCAACTCTGGGGAGAGCTTGGGGGGCCCTCTAGAGTGTGGGGGGTCCCAGGGTGAATGCTATGAGGAAGCATGGGGGCCAGGCTTCTTTGATGACCACCCTGGGGCACTTTCTCCTGCCACTGGCTGAGCATCATGAGAACCCAGGGACATCTTGCCCCATAATTGAGCAGTGGGGTTGGTACTAGACACCTGCTGAGTTCACATCCTCAGGTGAACAGCTACAGCCAGCCCCACAATCCTTCCCTGAGAAAGGGGTAAACTTTTTCTCCTGGGGCTGTGGGGATTGGTGGACTGGGTCCCTCGGATGACCAGTGACTCTTCCCCTGCTTGACCCTCCCGTCCCACTGACCACTCGTTTGTTCCTGGAGGGCTGGCTCTCTCTACTTTGAGCTTCCCTGATGCTCCGACCCTGTTCCCACACAGCAGGGGCTTGTCCCCCTCTGTCCAGACACCTCCTCAGGGAGGGTCTCCCTGACCACCCAGCTAGCCCCGGCCCTTCCTTCCTGACCTTCTGTTCTTGGTGGCCCCCCAGGAGCCTGTGAGCTGCGGTGTGGAGGCTGTCCTGTGAGTGCTGGTAGAAACATTAGTGGACACTAGTGGTGAGCCCACTGA